ATCGTCCGCGCGATATACTGCGGCTCGGTTTCACGCGTGGCCTGGCGGAGGGCTGGTGCGGCGCACCACTTCCTGGGGTATCCCTCTCTCCCCTCCGCCCGGAAGTAACGGCCGACGCCGACGCCGATTGGATAGCTTCCTAATTTATGGACAAAACGTGATGAAAATGAGCAAGCGGTTTCTGATAGACTGTCAGCGTAATTTGCACTCTTTGTCTGCTTTGAGGATTTCAGGTGAATTTTGCCTGCAAAGCAGCGTATCTAGTTAGCAAACAGCAATGAGACTGAGTTACTAAGTCCCTTTGGTAGTTATGGACACTGAATAACCTATATTGGATTAAGTTTGAGCTAAGCCTTAAAGCCCAAGGACAGCATCGCCTGGGGCAATTAAACATCGACTAAGTAGAAGCCGCAGAACCGGCTCGTCACGAGCAGATTAATCCAGTAATGTGTCCCCAAGTCAGGCGCGCAACGCAGACAGGGTCCAAAGGCTTCCTTCGAAATCCGTCCCCCGCCCCCCTCCCCCTCCCCCCAATATCGGCACCAAGTCTGACGGCCGCCCTTTCAAAATGACATTGGGATATGCTGTCCAATAGCACATCGGCCTGACATGCTCGTAATCAGAGTAGCAGCCATCTTAGCCGTAACCTGCCGTCGAGCAGCACTCCAGCCGGAGCGGTACTCCAGCCGCACTCCAGCCATGGCCATCGTCGGGCCCTAGCCCCGTCGGCACCGTTGTCGGCGGCGCGATGGCGCCCGTGCCTCGTCAGCGCCGGCCTCCGCCGCCAGAAGTGGCCCATGGGAACGGCCGACTTTCGGGCGCGGCGCGCCGCTGGCCGGCGTCCCCGAACCGCCGGCAGCCGGCGCCGTCAGCAGTGCGTGAGTCTACCGTGTGAAGCCCGCTGGGGTGGGTGGCCCCGGCTGCAGGACGGGGCGTGTTATCATGCGGCTGAATGAAGTATAGCGTCGCATTTTAAAGTAGCATAATTTGCATCTCAATTCTTCTTAAGATATTCGCCGAATGAGAGCGGACACATTAACAAGCAAATTGTCTAACCGAGTAGTTGCATATTGCATAAGTCAACAGCATTGCACTGAGCGTGTCCACCGGATGTAACGCAACAGGCTTGGCTATCGCAAACTCCTGTCGTGGCAGAACAATGGCGCTATTATGCACCACACGGATAATAACAGGCAAGGGGTGTCATTTCCCGCTATTTAGCTCTCGATGTATTCGTCGTTAAGTAATGTGAGTGTTTCTTCAGAGACATTCTACAGCGTTTAGCAGCCCATACGCTTATGAAGACAAATATACAGACGAGGAGCTGTCACGGTGAACTGCGTTCCCAAGTTATTAGAGAATGAAAATGGCACACGTGAGCACACTTATTGGAGTGCTTTTCATACTTACCAGCAGGCGGTACCCGTTGTGCGATGCTGCGTAAAAAAGTTAGACAAACTTACCACCAGTGCATCGCCGCACAGGCCAACCCAAGATGCCGCACAAACTCACGGAGTCCGATCTCAGAATGAATGTCTGTTGTGTGCGCCCGGGAAAGGGGAAGGGGGGGGGGAGGCCACCATAGACCGGGAGTACCATCGGGTGTGTCCCAGAAGGACCGCGATAAATGACTGCCGACACGGAAGAGGAACATTATCTAAGTTTTATTTCTCACTGGATTAACTTGGCCATTCGTTATGTTTCAAATTAAAGCGGTTTGCGGGCCCGGGGCGATTTTTATGGAGTGTCGTGCGGCGCCGTATCGACCTCCTCGCCGTCCCCCAGGCCGGAACCGGGCCGGTCACGCTCAAATGCCCCCCGGCAGGACACGCCGCGGTCGAGAATTTATCATTAAATGGCGCCGGGCCGGTTGGACAATGGCAGGATATGAGCGGATTCAGTATTGGTGCATGACGGCGGTGGTTATCTGAGCTTCAATCGTTCCCGAGTGCGTTCACGGTCAATGTCGTTAGAACACGGCCGGCTCGGGCGCGTGGTTACAGCTGCTGTCCCTGCGCTCGGTGGCAGTCCGTCAGGTAAAACGCAAGGGGCTCGTTAAAAATTGTGCCAGAATAAAGCTGCTCGAAGAAAGTCGGCCGCTTCTTGCCTCCATTGCACTGACGGGATAGTTACGCGTAGTGCCTCTGTTGGCCACGGTGATCGCAAGGTCAGAGTAAGGTCATCAGACTAGCATCGGATGGCATGAACATAAATTTTTCGAGGTCGGGAGAAATGTGTTTTCAAAATGTGTGTTCTATGGGCCTACGGCCTCCTGCCGAACTAAACGCGAAAGACACAAAAAGCAAATAATTTTAAGGAACAAAGAAATGTAATTGCGTCTATCGCTCTACTCACGTGTTTATAACGGAGTTTAAGGATGCTAGTTGCGTGTCGTGCGTTCCGAAAACTTGACTTGCGTAGTCCCTGAAGGCAACACCCGCATCGCTTCTGGCTCTCACACCACTAAATTCCTTTTAAATTGTATTTTATCCATCCTACAGGAGAGTAACAGCATCATATGTGCAGTATTTACATTCACATACTTACAAACCATAGCCGAGCGAAGGCTGAGTGCTTTGATTCGGTGTCGAAACATAACATACATATACGTCTCGTGACATTCCAGCAGAGGTGAGAGGAGGGAAAGAGGGGGGAATGACCCAGGCCCGGGGACCTCCCCGGTCCAAGGAAAGGGGGGGGGGGCTACTCAGCTGGGGGCGAGTGAAACGGTGAGGAAAGCCGAGACGGGGGCGTGTACGTCGGGCGTAGCATAAGTGTAACATGGAGCACAACACAAAACACCGTGTCCGGTACATTTAGTACGCGCACGCACAGGGCCCGTCCGCCGTTGAGATCAAGACGCCCCAGACGCTCTTCCGGCGGGCGGGAGGGCGAGGCGCTTCGCTCGTGAACAACAACAATGAGGGGCGCACAGCCGGCCTCCGCCTCGGGCCGCGGCCGACGGTCACAGTCCAACACGGCCGTGAGTAGGCTCCACCGCGACGTGCAGGAGTCAGAAACAGTTTATAGCGACTAGAAGTGTCCTACCTGCCGCCAGTGCCTCAGGCCTAGCTGTGGTACGTATCGGAACCCATCCGCAAGAAACGAACGCGTGAATAAACCGTTAAATTACTTGGCACACGACAGTAATATGCAACAAATACTAATTTAATGAATACGCCATTGGTTCGCGCCGGTAGATACAAAACCTTATTGTACACATAATTATACTACAGAGTTCACTCCCTTTACGCAGGTGATATGCGTGTATGCGTGTGCGTATATACTCAAACATGGCATGTACAAACAACACAGATTACAGCAATCCCAGGTATGGGCACATCACTTCCACACACGTTTCGGTGCACATGCTCTGCTTCCACACCAGAACACTCACGCTCCTTTTCATCGCGTGTTCACGCATCCTCTCGTTCTCGCCTTCTCGGTGTCAGTTTACCCTGCTGTCCACTGTATGGCCTCTGGGGATTGCTGCAGCTTGTGACCCTCAGCCCCTGCCCCGCCCCCGGGCCCAAGTGACCAAGGCGCCTGTGTCACCCATACGTCGCACCTGTCCCATGCGTGCACCGCGAGAGGTCACGGCTCTCATCGGTGTCTCCGGGTTCGTGGCCTTTCTGGTAAAGCCCAGTCAGAACAATAGAGCTTCTTGTTGGGGCAGTGCGTATTGCGGAGCTCTTCCAAAATTGGAAGGATTTTTCACTTCTTCTAGTTCTAAGTTGGGTTGCAACAAGCCAACAGATCTTCATAGGTTTCAGAGGTAGTACCATTTTGCTAAGTTGCGAATATTCCGGGTTTGTTTGGATTATAGCCCTATCGACCAGACATGATCATTTCAGAGCTATGGGATGAAAGGAGAATGGATAACAGTGGGGCAGGACCACATGTGCCTGGGAGGGCCAACCGCCGGGCCTTAGCCCGCGCAGGGACCCCACTACGGGGTGTGTGCTGGCGCCCGGTCGGGGTCTCTCTCCAGGTGGCCTGTCGGCTTACTCACGGCTGACGCATGCAGCCTGCCTCGCACAGGCCACGAGGATTCAGAATAAAGCAAGAAAGAGGATGAGAGGGTCGGATGACCGGGTTTAGTATTGATCAGTTTAGTTTTCCTGTCAGGGTTCAGCCATCCAGTTACTTATCAATTATGTCATTTGCTATCATTTCAACGGGATGTGCCGAACAGTAGGCCAAACCTTTCCCATGATCCTTATCCACAAAGTACCATCCGTGCCAGTTAGCTACCCCCGCAAGACTAGCCAGCTTCAGCGGGCCTCGTGACCCGCGCCCAACCAATCAACGCGAGAGCGTGTCTCGCTCGTCCGCGATCTCAGGAGCGGCCGGAACCGAGTGGTGCTTTGCCTACTTTTGCACGAGAATTCTGGCCCTACGCGCGCAGTGTGAAGCGAGAGAGCGGCGACAGATGAACCTTCTGAAGAGCTGTGTAGACGGCATCCATACGTGATGGCTTGTTACATAACATTCTGAGGGGCAGCTGCGTCTACACCGTACCCGCGGGTTCACTCTGCACCGAGCCGGGGGCCTGGGGGCGGCGCTGGGGCCGGTCTCTTGGGCAAGGTCGGCTGCTGGGGCTAGAGCAACAATTGAGGGCTAGGTCACCCGCTGGGGGCGGCGGGCCGCCGCTGGACCGCCGCTGGGCCGCCGCTGGGCTGCCACTGGGCCGCCGCTGGGCCGCCACTGGGCCGCCGCTGGGCTGCCACTGGGCCTGTCCACTGGGACCGCCGCTGGGCCGCCGCTGGGCCGGGCCGCTGGCCGCGGGGCTGCCACTGGGCCGCCGCTGGGCCGCGCCGCTGGGCCGCCACTGGGCCGTCCGCTGGGGCCGCCGCTGGGCTGTTGCTGGGCCGCCGCTGGGCTGCCGCTGGGCTGCCACTGGGCCGCCGCTGGGGGGCGAGGGCCGGCGCGGGCCTGTAATCACACGGGCGGGCCGCACCGCGCCCACTGACCCGCGCGGCACGCGGCGGCGCGCCTCGCTCACATGTGGTGCGCCAGCGTCATGGCGGCCGGCGGCAGGCTGGCGTCTGGGCTGCCTGTCATCTGGTGGTGGTAGGGCGGCATGTACTTCTGCTCGGCGGCGTACTTGGCGGCGGCGGCGGCCGCTGCCGCCTGCTCTGCCGCCCCCTGCGCCGGCAGGTACATGTTGATCATGCTGTTGAGGTCGCCCTGCTGCGGGGGCGCGCCGTACTCCCGCTTCATCGGCGGCGCGGCGGCGGTCGCCGACGGTGGTGTGTCCGAGCGCATGCTGTTGGGCGAGTGCGACGGCAGGCTGGCCGACGCTGTGCCCATGCCCGCCTGCATGCCGCTGTACGGGCTGGGGCTGCAACGGCGGAGGGCGGCCGTCAGCGGGTGGCCGGTGCCGCCGGACGCGGAGACAGCCGGCGGCCGAACGCCCTCCTCGGTCGCGACAGACTACAGCGAGTGGTGGAACTGACGGGCTTGGCTTTGAACCGCGGTCACGAAAGCTGGGAAATTTGGAGTACGGTTATGAAAGCCTGTATTAGCACGGAAAAACGGAATCGTTCTCGACTCGAATGCAGCCCAGATGAAGTGAGGCCGGGCGAGTGCGCGGCTCCATTGTCAGTTCCGCGACGCTCACCTGTTGGTGTACATGACGTTGTAACTGGAGCCGTTCATGTAGCCCATGCTGGAGGTGGTGGGAGGGGTGTAGCCTCGGGCCATCTCGTACTGGCCGCCGGCCGTCATGTACGGGTTGGTCATGTAGCTGCCGTAGGCAGCGGCATGCTGCTGGTACGCGGCCGGGTCGTAGGTGGGGTAACCTGGAGGACGAGAAGATATGGGATCAGCAGGGCTCCAGGGGTCGGCACATGGGGGGGGGGGCTGGGGTCAGCGGGGGCCCCACGGGTCAGCTCCTGAGGGGGGTCTGGAAACAGCAGGAGCTCCAGGGGTCAGCTCCTGGGGGACCGGAGAACTGGGGTCAGCGGGGAATCTAAGGATCCGTCTGTGGGTGTGGGGGGTGTGGGGGGGGGGGGTGAGAACTGTAGTCAGCAGGGGGTCTAGGGATCAGCTCTTGGGGGACGGGAGTTGAGGTCAGCAGGGGTTCTATGGATCATCGTCTGGGGGGTAGCGGGAGGGGTGGAGTCAGCAGGGAATCAAGGGATCAGCCCTTGGGAGAACTGAGGTCGGCACGGATCCAGGGATCAGCCCCGCAGGGCGGGTCTGGGAAAAACAGGGACTTCAGGTTAAGGGCCAGACAATATTCCAGAGGTTTCCAGAGATCAGCGAAGATCCGTGGGTTGGACCATATGTCAGATGTCAGATCCCGGTTACAACCGATACTTTGGAGGCCAACGAAGACTCCAAAACTTAGGCAGATTTCGGAGGTAGACCGATATTCCAGGTGTCAAACAATACGCAAGAGGTCAGCCAACATCCCGCGACAATACGCAAGAGGTCAGCCAGCATCCCGCGACAATACGCAAGAGGTCAGCCAGCATCCCGCGACAACACGCAAGAGGTCAGCCAGCATCCTGCGACACTGTTAAAGCGCAGAGGTAAAGTGCAGGACAGGGAGTATGGTGGCCCTGCCGATTCGTGCAAAGTGGCCGTGTTTTCAGGATGTCGCGGTAATATGGCAGTGGCTGTGTGCCGTATCTAGTAGTTGGTCATAACTCTTAGCGCCAATTTTACCAACCACGTGCGAACGAGCCTCTGCTCCAACTACGTACCACGGAGCAAGAGATGGACTCAAGACGCCCAAACACAAGTCACTCAGCTCAGCCCACCTACGACGCCCGCCAGAACTCAACACCAGCCGGTCACACTCCCGCTGGCCACTCGACACTCACTCTCGCTGCGTCCGTCCCGCCGCCTCCGTCCCCGGTCATCCGCCGGTCCCGAGGGTCCCCGCCAGACCGGACCGGACCGGACCGACCGCGGGAATTAGCCCAGCTTGCAGGCGCCCTCCTCTCGGCCTGTTTACCTTCAACACGGCGCGTGTTGACTCTGGCGCCGCGCCGCCGCTCACGCGCCGCCAAGGTGGTCTGGGCGCCGTTTTTCCGCGTGCGGACATAAGCGGACACTGTGGCGGTAATCCGCGCGCCGCGACAGGCCCGGCGTCGGCCGCCGCCGTTTTTGCGTGACCGTAAAGCGGCTATCGCGGCGCGGCGCTGCGGCGGTCGTGGCGCCGCCGCCAGCGCGCTTTCAATTATCGTAAACCATTACCCGGCGCCCGTAAAGGCTTTGCGGTGCGCTGCATGATTGCGGGTCGGCTGGGTGCGGGGTGGTGACGTGAAAATCAGACCGGCGATGACTCGTCTCTTGAAGATGCCGCGCGGCGGCCGGGCGGAAGCGGCGCCAGCTGGTGGCGGCGCCCCTGGGGCCAGCCTGTGACGCCGTGCGGGCGCAGCCGACAAAGCGGGGCAGGACGGTGCCCCGGTACCGAGAGCAGCCTCTGAAGATGGCGGGGGACAGCCGAGGACGATCGGGAGCTCGTCAGGGTCGGGACAGTCAGGTGTGTGGGCCGGGCAGCCAGGTCCGAGGTGGACTACCAAGCCTGTGGTAGACTACCGAGCCTGGGTGGATTACCAAGCCTGTGTTGCACAGCCCAGCCTGTGGTAGACTACCAAGCCTGTGGTGGACAACCAAGCCTGGGTGGACAACCGAGCCTGTGGTGGACTACCAAGCCTGGGTGGGCAACCGAACCTGTGGTGGGTTGCCAAGCCTGTGGTGAACAACCAAGCCCGCGGTGGACTACCAAGCCTGGGTGGACAACAAAGACCCAGACTGTACACGGCTGCCGATACAGGAGTTGGACGTGTTCACTGCGCACAGCGAAGACGTTGGGCTGTTTTAACAGTGCTGGGCTGGACTGTTAAAGACTGGCTGCTGTGCCGGTGAGGCCTGAGGCGCACGCAAGCGTGCACAACGGCCTCATGGAGCTGCAGCAACGTTCCACAGGAGAACCATCGTAAAAATAGCATCAACTCGCAACAGTGCTGCGATCTGTTCATGGTTGGTCGGCCGCCTGTGCTCTGAGACGCTCAGATAGTACGATCACGTGACGTCCACCTGTCAGCTGAGTGGTGTGGTCAAACCTCGGCAGTTTGTTCCCACTGAACGCCAGGATTTGAGAGGCACAAGTTGCCAAGGCGGGTTGGTTGATGCGTGCCCGCCGCATTACCCATCTCGCCGGAACGGTGCGGAAGAGGGGTGTGCCAAGGCTGCGCGCTCGTGCCTATTTTCTGCCGTGAAAATGGTTGTTTGCGGTACAGGCCGTCGGTGGCGCGCGTGTGTTTGCTCGCCGTATTGACAGCGGGTATTTGAAGAGCTCTGTCTCCACACCGCTCTAGTGTTTGCCAGGCCGCGGCTAAATAGTTCAACAGCCGCGCAATTCATCGTTAACGCATCACCGGCCGGCCGGCTCTGCTCCCGCTGCGCCCCCACTCTGCCCCTGCTCTCAGCCTCTCTCTCTCCTCGCTCGAGCTGCAAGCCCAGGCGCCAAATCGCCACTTGGTCTCTTCATTGGCAGAGATGAGCGGCGTATGTGATACGCCGCCAAGGGCGCAGCTACTGGAATCATCTCCGTTTCGACTCAGTGATATGACGTGCCGTGTATTTATTGCTCATGCTATGCTACGCCTATATGACATATATATGTATATATATATATATATATATATATATATATATATATATATATTTTCAGATGGTTCATGTAACACGAATCGCGGTATTATCAAAGGGAATGTTTTCCCACGACTGACGCAACCTACATGCTTCCCACATGATTGGAAAGTTGTGATGCTCCTTGAAAAGCCTAAAACAGGAAATGCAGAAATTGCGGGGTATTTTGAAGTATACATCGTCATACATGCAATACAAATGATGTGCGTATGTGCATCTCAAGTTTGTGCTCTCAATTGGCACGTAGTCCCTTTACAACAGCTGAGCGACAAAACCCACAAATGTGGAACATCAGCGGCTTCAGCCTTTCGATCTTTAAGGCATCTGAGACAAGTTTGACAACACCTATGAACCGCAAAGACTTCCCGCATAGCCCATTTAACAGCATGATTAACCCGAATTGCATCGGTTCTCCCACGCGACTTTTGTGTACAACAAATGTTGAACTGACTCACAATAGAAAACAGGTGATCCGGCACAAAAGAGACCCAAACAATAAGATTGCTATCATGTGGCCATTCAGAGCACAAAAACATTCCTGACTTTTGTTCAAGTCTCAATGGGGTTCACTCTCGCCGTAGTACTACGCCAGTCTGGGGTATTGATCTCGGCCACAACCACACAAAAGACGGTCTGCGCCTCTCTCAATGAAGTCCTTGTCTCTCTTTCTCCTGGCGCTCCTTCTCTCTGCCTCCTCCACTCTTCTGCCCGCTGCTCACCAAGGGCGGATGGCAGCCGGCGAGGCTTTCAGGGTCATGTGAAACCTCAGCTGACGGGCGCTGCAGGATTACCGAGGATCCTTTTACTGCCCAAAGATGCTAAATTTGGAAGCGACTGCACTCATAACAGCGAGTGCTATTACAGCCATCTAATTGCAAAAACCAAACAAAACCATGAATACAAATACCCATAAGCATTGACAGACAAATCCACAGCCATCACGTTTTTCAGCATACGTCCCAACTGGCTGCATTTTGTGAAAGAAAAGAACGGCCGCAACGCCCGCTCCTCACCGGTAATTCTGAGCTTCGCATGTGAATACGAGTACGGTGGAAACGAAGCTACTACTGAACGCTATGTCTACCAACATTCTGAGCCCAAGTCAGCAAGAGGATTCCTCCATCCGGGAGGGACCATCCGAGCTTGTAATGGCAGTTCCCGCCTGCGCTGGGACCAAGGCAACAGCCGTACCGTTATTACGGGTGGAGCGACTCGCCTGACCGGCGGGGCAGCGACTCGGCCTGCACCCCAGCGGTGACTCGAGTCGCCGTCGCATCGACGACTCGACCCGACTCCAGCCGCGACTCGCCGCTAGCCTCGCCGGCGGCCCCGTCCCGCCGGGAGGGAGCTCCCGTAGGCTGGCCGGGTGGGCGTAGCGCGGAGGCGGCAGCGCCCCGTCCCGCGGCCGGCTTCTCCTCCGCCGCCGCCCCCCCGCCGTCTCCAAAATTGCGCCGGCCGCGCGCAGGAAGTGGGCGACGACCGCCGGCCGCGCAGTAGAAAAAACAACGGGAGGCCGGCCGCGTCACGCGTCCTCGACCCGGCGGCGGCGCGGACGGCCCGGCCCGCACCTGCCCCGCGCGGCCCTCCCGCCACCGGGGCGGCCGGTGACCCCGGCACCGAGGGGCGTGTCGCTCGCACGGAGGGGGCACCGGTGGGTCCGCTCGGCGAGCGGCGCTACCGGAGCCATCCGTGGTAGGTGCGTACATGTGGGCCGAGGCCGCGGGGCCGTTGGGTCCGACGGCGAACGGGCGCCGAGTGCTGACTAGAGAGATTGCATATGTACGGTGCTGATGTGTTGACGGGATGGAATGTCAAGCTGCCGACCCTGCACCCGGGGTAGGGTGCACGAGAGTGACGCGTTGAGCGAGCACCGCGCAGCAGCACGCGTGACATTCCGCGTGTTGGCTTGGGCGCCTGTTGTCAATAGTTGCTGGCAAGATGTAGGCGGCAAAAAAGGACGTAGAAGTGATTGAGAAACGGTTGTTACCAGAAAGATAAAGCAAGAGTGTCTCATGAAGGAGAATGGAAAGAGAGAGAAGAGATATCTCGATAGAGATCAGCATTAGAGAGAGAGAGAGAGAGAGAGAGATATGAGAGAGAGAGAGGAGAGAGAGAGAGAGAGAGAGGAGAGAGAGAGAGAGAGAGAGAGAGGGAGAGAGAGAGAAGGAGAGAGAGAGAGAGAGAGAGAGAGGGCGTCAGACGGTGCCGACCCCGCTGTCTCTCACAGCCAGGACGCAAACAAACACATAATAAGTCTCAATAGCCGTGGAGGCGCCCCTAACTGGAGTGTAAGTGTCATAATGAGACGGGGGTCGATTCAGAGTGGGTCCCGACCCTGCGGACCCGGCCGGCAGCCCCAGCGACACTGCCCGGCGCCGGCCCGGTAAATAAGCTCCCACGGCTCGATATCCAGGCCAACGCCCTGCGGAGGCGAGACCCGCCGGGCCGGCGAGACGGGCGCCGCCCCGCCCCTTCGACGGGGGACGGCGACGAGCGAGTCTTCTCGTGGGAGAGGATGCGCCGGAAGATGACGCGAGTCTGCCAGAGTTTAGGTGTGCTGAGAGGAAAGTGTCTCATTTGCTCATGGTGTCATCCCATTGTGTGACGAATAAGCGCGACCAGAAACAGAAGCATCAGTAGTACGTACGTACAAAGCGCACCAGGAGTGAAAATGCAGCACCAAAGTAGGGTAGCGGTTGCCATTTGTTGCGCGCATAGGAATCGGAAGGTCTACGCACTAGGCCCACGCAGACGTTGGCACAAACTCGCGTTCGAGATGAAGCCCGAATTAAGCAGAGCCTGTCACCCTACAATCTAACGGAAAGCCTGCTTGGAGGAGCAAGACCGCGCCGTCAGTGTCTGCCGGGCATCCTGCGACGACGGACAGTAATTATCGCCCGAGCCTGGCCGTTGAGCGTCGAGCCGTGTAGCCAGCGATCGTATCTGGCCCGCCTGTCGGAGGACGCGCCGTTCCCCGGCAAATGGGCTACTTATGTGCGGCTATTAGATGCCGGCGCTGATACGCGGTATAAGTCTCACGTCCGGCGCCTGATCCACGGCCCAGGAAGGAGTCTCGGGGGTTCTCAAGAGACATGCAATGCCGATCGTGGGGCTCTCCGATCGAAAGGGCTGGTACGCTGACTGACCGGATTTTAACGTTGCTTTAGATAATGCGCTGCCGTTGGTAAGACTTGGCTTCAGCCTTCCTCTCACCAAGTGGGCAAGTTACTTCCTTCAGGTCGTGACAGTCTTTGGCGAAACATACGAACAGGACGTATTCATTTAGGTGGCATGTACCTGGTTTGAACAGGGCTCCTTCCCTAGCAATCACAGCCCGGTTCATTCAGGCGACGGGGGCCGCACCGCTACCGTCCCCCCCCCCCCTCCCCCAGCGGGACGAACGGTGAGAGGGCTCGCACACGACTCCAGCACTCGCCTCCACCGCCCTCTGCTGACGCTGATTGGTTTCCAGCGCGGCAAATGCCAGACCCAGCGAACTGCAGCAAACTGAAACCGATTGGCCCTCGGTCGGCGAAGTGGAGCCTTTGTGAGATCGTCCCGGGCCTGCGGGGACCCTCTCGCCGTCCGGATTCAGCGAGGGGTACGACACCAGCCTGCACCGCCGCTGCGGACGGGGCGAGCGCGGCGGCGCACACGCAGGCTCGTCTGCGAACGGCCAGCCTCCGGGGGTGGCCACTGGCGCGGACGAGCAGCAGCCTGACAACTCAAAGGCCCGTCCGGCTCATCTCAGTCAGCGAGTGCAGCGATTTTTGTCCGGTCGCGGCGGCCGAGCCGATGTTATCGCCGCCGGCGGCCGACGTCGCCACAACCCGCCCGATCGTGTGGCAGCGCCTCCCCGGGCCAGAGCTGCAGCCCGCACCCCACCGGCGCCGCCGCGCCGTGCTCTTACCGTTGGGCATGTAGCCGTTGGGCATCTGGTACATGTCGCGCGCCATGGTGGACGCCTGGGACCGCGACGGGTCCGGCTGTAGGATGCCGCCAGCCGAGCGGGTACTTGTCCTTCTTCAGCAGAGTCTTCGTCTTCCGCCGCGGCCTGCGAACGCGAGACAGACGGCGTCAGGCGGCATGCATGGAGCGGGCTAACGGAGCGGGACCTGCAGCTGAGGGAGGGCGTGGCGCCGGGCAGTCGGCTCCGAGGAGATGCAGCTTCTCGTCGCCTGCGACTGCGAGCTTCGTCATGCAGCAGCGAGTGGTTGTGACGGAGGTGGGGGGGCTCTGCAGGGTCGTGCCCCGCGTTAAGCTCTGGCTGCTTGTGTTCACTTCGTTCATTGCCAATGGAGCGGCAGTCCACCAGCAGACACCGTCGACCTGGTCTAGTGTGCTGGGGAGGTGAGGCGGTGAGCTCAGGTGAGGTGAGGTGAGGTGAGGTGTTGTGAGATAAGCACGCGTCAGACCACGCTCCCAGCAGAGCAAGGGTACGTGCTGTGGCCACCCCGTCCTGCAGTCGGCCAGCCAGCCGCGCCGCGCCGGCTGCAGCCGTCCCGCTCCACGGCGACGGCCGGCCGATCTGTGGCGGTGACCCCGGAGTACCGGGGCAGGTCGGCCCCTCTCCCGCTCCACCGGCGGCGGCCGGCCGATCTGTGGCGGTGACCCCCGGAGTACCGGGGGCAGATCCGGCCCCTCTCCCGGGCACCGGCGACGGGCCGACCGATCCGTGGCGGTGACCCCGGAGTACCGGGGCAGATCGGCCCCTCTCCCGGGGCACCGGCGGCGGGACCGGGACGGGCGGCCCGTCGCCGCGCGCCGGCGCCGGCGCCCCACTCGACCGTGGCGCGCCGGCGGGAAGCCCACCGCCTTTCTGATTGACTGCCGTTTCCTGCGGCCGCGTCACGTGGCGTCACGTGGCCGTGCGGTACGTGCCCGTCACGTGTCGGCGCCGCCGCTGACGTGGCGGCCGGCACGTGCGCGCAGCGCCCCGCCGCCGAAATTCCCGGCCGGGTGGAGCTCCGGGATGTGAGCTCTCGGCTGGCGTCATGCGGACGGTCGGCTCCGGCTAGCGCTGCAGCCGGGAGCTGCTGCGCTAGTGTCGAACCGTACGTGGACGTCACGCACGCCACATCACGTCATGTCACGCTGCGCCCAGCCGACTCCCCCTCGACGCAAGGGCGGTAAAACGCCGTAGGGTTGTGGAGTACTTAGATGTGGTGACAACCAAATGGGAGTTATCTTCCTTCCACACAGCTGCGACGTCGCCAGGCCGTGACGTTTGAAAATGACAACAATCTGGCGACCTCTGCGACCCCAGTTGTCGCGTGTCTTTCCCGACCTCATGACACACAATTCAGCCCGGGCAAAAATACGTGCACCAAAATGTGCACTGGCGAGGCTGTCACTGTGTTGATATCATCCATATTCATTGCATTTCTCATCGTTCATTCGTTTTGGTGGCTCGCAGGGGAAATGGGCAATTATATTCCAGCACACGTTTCCATCGGGATACCTTGTCCCATTCTCACAGCGTCGCGTGGGCTGACTGGATCGTTTGGTCATGCACATTTGCCAGTCGGCTGAATCTGTTCAAAGCTGTTGAGCAGCGGTCTGTTTCTGTGGGCGTGTTCAACAACCAGCTTGTGACGAAACCCATTCTTCCTCAAGTGGGAACAAACTCACGCACCATGCAATTATCGTCGATTTGATTAGATATCGGAGAGCTCTAATCTATTCAAGCCGTACAAGGCCTGAAAAGCTTAACACGTATTGAATCGACGACTGTATTTTTTAGTCGTCAAATCACCGTAACCATTTCCTTCGCTGCTGTTCCAAGGGCGACAACGTGCCGAAGTAGAAATTCACTTGGTCAAAACCGTAAATTAACCAAACACAACAATGCTGCCAAACGCTACCCTTCCACACTTTTCCTCGCTCGGCCAAAAAACCTGAGATGGTCGTTTCCGGCGTCCAGAGCAGTGTGGACGGCAAGCCGAGAGACCCGCCGACAAATTACCCCCCATTCAATCAGGAGAATAAACGCAATCCGGCCGGCGGGGAACAATAGCGACAAAGCGCCTGATGATTTAATTGCCGTCGATCGGGAATCTGACCTTGCCGGCCGCCAAACAAAGCGGCAGATCCGGCGAGGGCCACAGCTGAACGCCGCCGGCACCTCCGCGTCGGAGAGACAGAATCCAGACCAGGGAGGGGGCGTCACAGAATGTGGGTCTGGAGTGAGGGCCAGCCTTGTTTTAAGTCCATGTTTTCCATGCATTCCTCCGGAGCTGACGTCTGTGCACTGCACTAACGTCTATGCGCCGCACTAACGTCTATGCACTAACGTGTAACGTGCATTTTGGATAACAGGATCTTAGCCCTTCGCCCCTGGCGCCCTTCGCATGTGCCGTGTCGTACGCCTATGCACTGGGCGACGGTCGTGAGTCAATGATCGAAACCGGTCACCTTTTTACAGCTGAGCTGCTTCTCAGCTTCGGGAGTTGAGCTGATGCATCAACGCAAAGATGACAGCGCCAGAAGACAGGCTGGCTCGAGGGCTGCTATCCGCCACTGAAGCGGACCGGAATCCGTCTCCGCTGACGCTGGAGAAGTTTGTGGATCGGCACGTGTGAAAGCGGAGCCCCTGGCTTGTGGTCACATTTGGATGCGTTTTATTTCATCCCACACCTCGTTTTGGGAGTCATACAATTATAGTTTACCCTGCAGGGATTGCAAAATATGGGGCAGGTCGCGTCAGGTTTGGATGGATGTGAGAGATAATGCTTGAATGAAGTGCTTACAAACCTCATCGTTTGCCTCAGTCTAGTTTGTTTCGCATTTACAGCAAGCTAGCCAAGGACACAGCTCTCATGGTCTAACGACTGACCTTATTAATCATCATCTAAAAAGCATATCGCACCAGCGAATATAATGACCGGATTGGCAGTTGCCCTCTCTTATCTTAAACAAAACAAAAACAACAAATTAAGTCGGGTCGGCGCTTCTTTGTTCGCCACCTCAGGCGATTTACGAGACCACGCCTCAGGGCGAGCCGTGTTTGTTTTGATACCGGTGGCTAATCGCGAGGCCCATGCCGTTCAGGCCGTCCTGGCTTCGTAACCACTTGTCCAACAGCTTTTGCCTGGACCGGCAGACAATTTCCATTGCACCTACTACCGATCTGCATGCCGTCATGAACATGGGCGAGGACGTCATTTGACAAAGCGAGCGTAATGATACTCCGCCGCGCACTGGGGCACTGCGGTCGTCACACAGGGATTTATGGGTGCATTCCGCGTATTGCGTTCTCGCGCTGATGGCGGCGATCAGTGAGCGCCATTGCCATCCAGACTGATGGGCAATCGACCTGTCGCGTTCGGGCGCCCCGTGTGTACCTGTCGCTTCGGGCGCCCCGTGTGTGTACCGTCGTGTCGGGTCGCCGTGTTGCCTGTCGCGTTCGGTGCCGAGTGTGTACTGTCGCGTTCTGGGTGCCGTGTGTGCCTGTCGCGTTCGGTGCCGCGTGTGTACCGTCGCCTCGGGTGCCGAGGTGTAACCTGTCGCGTTCAGGTTCCGCGTGTGTACCCGTCGCCTCGGGTGCGAGTGCGTACTGTCGCGTTCGGGTGCCGCGTGTGTACCGTCGCCTCGGGTGCCGAGTGTGTACCTGTCGCGTTCGGGTGCCGCGGGTGTACCGTCGCCTCGGGTGCCGAATGCGTACTGTCGCGTTCGGGTGCCGCGTGTGTACCGTCGTCGCAGCTGTTTCACGACACGCCATACACGCCATACACCTTCGCAGCGCGGCGTGCTCCATTGCTCGCCACTCTTTAGCTCGCTTTAGTCACCCATCTTTGGCTGTTCAATCGAATACCATTAACATACATAGCGCGGAAAACCTTTGGCCGTGTCGGTCGTGAAGTTATTTCCGGACGCCGCACCCTTTTGCGATTGCCTTTCGTCACTTTGAGGCCGCGGGCCCTGCCTCCGCCGCCACTGACGCCCCTGCCTTCGGCATGTTGACATTACTCTGCCGTCACCACCACCGCCGCTGCTGCTGCTGCTGTAGTGCAAGGAGTGCTGTCGTCGTTGCCTGCTGCCTCCGCTACTGCCGCTGCTACCGCCTCCCCGTTGCCGTCGCCACCCCGCCGCTGCGGCCTCCCCGTCGCCGTCGCTACTCCGCCGCTGCCGCCTGCCTGTCACCTTCCCGTCGCCGTCGCCACCCCGCCGCTGCCGCCTCCCCGTCGCCACTCCGCCGCTGCCGTCTCCCCGTCGCCACTCCGCCGCTGCCGCCTCCCCGTCGCCACTCCGCCGCTGCGGCCTCCCCGTCGCCGTCGCTGCTCCGTCGCTGCCGCCTTCCGTCGCCTTCACGCGTCGCCGTCGCTGCTCCGTCGCTGCCGCCTCCCGTCGCCTTCACGTCGCCGTCGCTGTTCCGTCGCTGCCGTCTCCCGTCGCTTCCCGTCGCCGTCGCTGCTCCGCCGCTGCCGCCTCCCGTCGCCTTCACGTCGCCGTCGCTGCTCCGTCGCTAAAACCGTCTCCCGTCGCCTTCCCGTCGCCGTCGCTGCTCCTTCGCTGCTTCTCCTCCCGTCGCCTTCCCGTCGCCGTCGCTGCTCCGTCGCTGCCGTCTCCCGTCGCCTTCCCGTCGCCGTCGCTGCTCCGTCGCTGCCGCCTCCCTTCGCCTTCCCGTCGCCGTCGCTGCTCGTCGCTGCGCTGCCGTCTCCCGTCGCCTTCCCGTCGCCGTCGCTGCTCCGTCGCTGGCTGCGCCGCCGATACCTCTTCCCCCATTGCTGGCCGTCGCCGCACCGGCCGCCGCCGCCGCCGCTGATGCGGGTCGTCGTCCTCGCGGCGGGACGCCCGTCGCCGCCCGGCCCTGGCCGTCATGATGGGCTTCTGTCAAACGCCGGTGCCTCAGGTGCGCGCGCCGTGAAAAATCGACGAGAACAGATGTTGGGGCCGGCGCCCGCCCACGCACGTGGACCAAATTAGCTTTGGCATGTTCGCCGAGCGTTGGTCCGGCGCGGCGCACTAATTGCACGAACAGTAGTTTATCACGAG